CTTCATTTTATTTATTAACGCAATTTGCCTTTTTAAAACTTGGCCGAATAAATTCTGTGCGTTGAACTCTCATATATGAAAATATTTTAACGGTACGTTCACAAATAACGGTATATATTCACTTATAAAGAACATATAACAGGTCTAGATTGTCTAAAAGCTAATTTAGTTAGCTCATCTTTCATTATGAACCAATTTCTCGCGCATTGCGACTTGCAAGTCACTAACACCAACTTGACTTTACTCAAGATGTTTGCGACCCACTGACCTCGTGCTCATGCGCATAGTTTAACTCGTATTGAGTAAAAATTAATAAAATTATTAATTCGTTGTATAATGTTACATTATTGGTTAACATATTGTATACACATATTTTAAAGGGTAAGGAAGTTAAATACGTAACCTAGATAATTAATTTAGGAAAATGATGAATCGATATATGTAACAATAAAAATATAAGAACGTAATATTTTTTTTTTTTTTAGAGAAATGTATTTTTTGTCTTCCTTTTAACAATTGTTTTAATGCTTTTACGACTAAAGCACTGTTTGTAATTTACGCGAGTAGTACACATACAAACGCCTCTCTCCGTGACCACAGCTGCTGCAAAGCATTCGATCCGTCAGGCCGTAGTTGAAGTCATTTGTAAATAAGTTTAACTAATATATTTCGCGTTTTAAATCGTTAAAAGTGTTTTATTGCAAAATGATGTAATTTAAAAAAGTGTAATTAATCGATCAATTCAATTATTCTATTTAATTAACTTACAAAATACTTTTTATAGAAAAGTCCTTAAATATACCCCAAGTAGCTATCAGCACTCGAAGCACCTATTTTGAAGGTGGTTTGAAGGGAGATTGACTAGTTAGTATTTTTGTTAGTCTATCAAACGACGCACCAAGTTAATTATAAGTGATGTCCTAAAAGATGCTTATTCGCCTACCCACTTGAACTTTTACGTACAGACCAACAAAAGGTCAACGACCGGTCAACCATTCGAAATATATAAATAAGCATTTTATATTATTCATTATGACAAAAGGAATCGCTGCATTATGCAAATATGTTGTTTCATTGTCACTGTCGCGTTTTATTGTTGTTTAATGTCAAACATAAATTAATTCATTAACAAAGACTGCGTATTTTATCGCTTCTGTTTCGTAATATCTGCTATTTGCGATCTTTTACACGCACGTAGAAGAACAGTGTTAAAGTAGTGTAGAATGTAAAAGGATTTCATAACTCTTCATTTCGAGTCTTAATTCTGAAACAGAAGAGGTTTTTTAAAAATCGAACATAAAGTGAAAACATTTTCGACTCGGACAGGACATTTTTTTAAATTCATTTTCGATTTTTATATAGTGCCATCATGTGAAAAATATCAAAGTTTTCAAAGATTTTGTTTTGTAATTGTTTAGCCAAACCCAACTTTTTACTTGGAATTAATGAGTTATTTTGACGTTAAACCAGCAAGTGTTTTAACAAAAAATACATCAACTGATCCTAGATAGACTAATTTAAAATATACTTATTGCTTACTATAATTAATTTTCGACCTACAATTATTCTTACTTTAATTTTTATAAACATACATTCACGTACACACAAAGATACATACACATAGTACACACTCACACACACATTTTTTACTCACCATCTTTATTAAACATTATAAATTCAAATGTCAATCTTAATTCTAATAGTTTAAATAGAGGTTAAGTTTTTCGTACCCAACTAACATCGGATAAATATGCCCCATCCTTCTTCATTAATTCTTTCCGATTTTCTTTTGTTTGTTTATTTTTTTTTCGTTAGCGGAAATAATGAAAATACGGATATCATATGTGTGTATCTTCTTTTTGTGTCAAAATTGAGTTATCATCGCTTGAATTGGACGTTATGCAAACGTCATTAGTAAAACGTAATTAATTCAAAACTTTTATGTAATAGGTTTTTATTAGAAAATCTGGTATTGCTTTTGTGGAAAATAACAGTAACCTAGTGTTGTATTAGGTAAAACTTTCATTTAATTTAACTTATATATATATAAATATATTATATACATCGTAGCATTGTCTGCAGTTTATTTTTTACACATTTAAATACAACACTTATACAAACGTGCCCACCGAAATGTCGGGCCGTAGTTAAAATAAGATAACTAATATATTTCACGTTTTAAACAGTTATGACTGTGTGTTAGAATATAATAAATCGTAACTATTTAAACTAATAATAAAAAGTTAATGTTTTAATAAATAAGACATTTTAAACGGCTTTAAATGAGTGTTATAGGTGTAGTGTGATTACTGAACTACCATCTTGGACTACCTTCTAATTCCAAAAGTACAGTAACCATATTAAGAACATAATATTTTTTTTAATGTTGATGACTGTATATATTATTTAGTAAATAATTATGCTAGTGTAATTTTATATGCGAAATAACAATTATCTAAGGATATGTAAATTTCCCATTTCGTCCAAGTACGCACTGCGTAATTTTCAATCTTCAATCAATGCCACGTTTAGTTTTCACTTTCTGAGACGAACAGAACAGTGTTTATGCATGAATTCGGGTGTAATAACCGTTGAGATGTTTTCTTTGCATTATTTATGAGGTATGAGAGATCTCACTACTTCGTCACGTTAACGGACCGTAATATTACGTAACGCGATGAGAATTGCAATCAGGTGCTCTAGTTTTTTTCGTATAGACATGATTGATCGATGCTATCGTTAGGGACATTGGCAAGTGTTTTTAGTGGTCATGAGATCATTAGATGAAGACTTTAGGTATTACGTATTCACAAGGTCACGAGTGGATTCGTTTTTTTTCTTTCATTCCAAATTTAGAATCATTGCATTCAACGAAAGATACAATATGTTCCAATTCACGGAGTAAGATCGAAATAAAAATACGGTATCGGAGACACCTTCTCACATACCGTATTTTTTATGCAGCTTTTCGTGATCACGTATAAAACTTCTTATTAATATAAAATAAATGTTAATTTAAAAAAGATAAAAAATATTTTAACTGAATCTTAACACAGTATTTATTCTGTGTTTTGCAAGTTCTCACATGAAAATTGTATAAACAACAATCTTTAACATGGACATAATAATGTGTCTGTATGACCCACAAAATGGCTAGGACTTCAATTGGATTAATTTTTTTATCTGCAATAAGATTTCGCGTTTCGCGTTCAAATTTAAGATGTAAAATACTTATGTCATACATAGTTAACACTGTATGTAATGTATCTATGGGTGTAAGAAAGCACCTAATGTCAATTACTCTTACAGGACGTATTACGTTATTATTAAAATTAAGCTCTAAACAGGAACTGTAAAGTATAAGCAGTAACTGTGTTTCATGCAAATGAACTGGTAAAGAGAAAATAACATTATCTAATACGATTAGCATTAGCAAAAATGTCATATGAATACACAAACTTCTATTAAATATTAATATAATTGTAAAGAAATATTTATTGTTTTGATTCATTAGTATTTAAGGTAACATACACAAGCAACCATTATATGACCAGACGCTAAAATCAAAAAACATTCAGCAATTTATCATAGGCTAATTACTGCAAAAACGCCCTCTAGTGTTAAACATAAGAACTTGGCCTCGTAAAAGTAAAGACTAGGTACACTTTCATCCGGACATAAAAGCCTTGAAAGAAACTTTATCATAATTTAGAAAGAAAATCAAATAATTCCTGTTAAAACTCAAAGATGGCGTTAAATACAATTTATATTTTTATTCTTGAACGACATTTACGTTATAGGAATTTCAACACTAAATGACAGCTCTGTAAGTCTGTAACATTAAATTTAATATACATTTATATTTTTGTCCACATTTCGTAACACAACTTTTTCTACTGTTATATTAATAATTTAAAAAAATAGTTAATTGTGTAACCAACAGTTTCAAGAAAGATTACAAGATGATCCTTAATAACTTTAAATAACTAAATTACACATAACAAGATGGTGAACTAAAAAAATCCCCCTCATGGTATCTCTTCATTATGGCTTATTTTAATCCTTGTACCTTCCTGTGTTTCCTATATCAACATCGTCTTAACGCTTTAACGGTTTAAAATGCGAAATTATTTTAGTTATTAAATTAGTTCGCATAATTTTTAAATTAGGTTAACTATTATATTTAGCGTTTTAAACCGTTAAAGTGTTTTATAAAAATGTCTTGCAGTCGCAACTACAGACAGTATGGTCCTAACTGTTTGAGCTGCATAAGTTACATACACATAATAAACATTACACACCCACTCACACTCAAATGAATGTAATATTATTATTTTTATTGATTGATGATTTTACTGAAAGACCGGTGATTTAAGTCAGAATAAAACAAGCATTATTCGTATAATTTATTAACGTAAGTCTTAAGATAAAAACAAAAATACTGACCAATGCAATTTTGCAATTTTCTTACAAAGTACTGTTATTAAAGCGTATAAATTAATACAATATAACACTTATATCTACTTCGAGTATGTACAGTGACATCATTGTGATATTAAATATTTTATTTTGATAACAATAAAAATTTAAACGTTATATTTACTCCTACACATTTTTCAGCATTGAACCTTAATTTAATCAATTCATTTAAATAAAACACTTTAACAGTTTAAAACGCAATGTATAAGTTAAACTTGTTTGAAAATTATTTTTAACTTCGGTTCGACGTTTAACTAATATCGCGTTTTAAACCGTTAAAGTGTTTTATTTAAATGTGTACTACTCGCGTAAACTATAGACAGTGTTTAATCAATTCAATTACATTAAGGTTCAACCTTATTTTAATAATAATTTAACCAACAGAATACAGTGGGTAGTTGTAAAAACTTCTAATATTAGTTGTCACATTTAAAACATCAGAATAAAATGAGGTTAATGACAAGAAGCCTCATAAGCCTTTTTATAAGCGTTTTCATTTGTTTCATAAGTTTCGTTTAAGTTTACTTCGCTATTTTCGATGCTCGCTTATGGTGGCCAAAAGTCACCCCACCTGCTGCAGTATGATACATTTGGTTCGGCAGAAATCCACGCTCAATATACCTGGGTACCGGAAAAACTGGGGAATAACCACGCCCACTAGATAAAGCCTCGTACGTGGACGGAGGATCTCTTGTATAACCTCTTTTCAAATATTCTAATTGCACGCTGGACGGTATGTACGAGTCTAGTAAAGATGTAGGCCTCCTTTTGAATGGTACCCCGTACGCTTCAGCGGGCTTAGGAGTGAAAGCGTTAGAAATCAACGGTCCACTTGTCGTGTATATAGGTTTAGTTAGTGGACGGTACACGGGTAAGGCTTTGGGTATATGTGCTAGGTGAGGCGGCGATGGTTTCAACAGCAATGGACTGGGATGTGGTAACTCTATAGACCCACCACGGTAGTCGTCCCTCACTGGCGCTCTCGAGTTATAATACCTAGGAAACTGCTGTGGATACGGTACTTCAGCTTGTGAGGAATACCTTTGACCGTGGTCTATGGTATTTGAATCGAAGTTAATCTGCTGGTAACTCTTTATCGGCGGTGCCACAATAGCAGTGGGATAGTTCACTATGGGATTCTGATAGGCCATAACAGGAGTTGCGCTGGGCTGGGGCGGGGACAGCGTTGGTTGGGGATAACCGATAAATGCCATCGGAGTGGTATATTGTTGAATATATTGACCTTGACCGTTGCCAGATATATAATTTGGCACTATGTAATTGCCTTGCTGAGCTTCAGGACCACTTGGGTAGTTCGGCACCTGCTGTGTGGCTGAATACTGGATACCCTGCTGAGAGTTACCCTGCTGTGTCTGCTCATTATAGTATTGTGGTACTAAGTAAATCTGCATGGGTATATTTGGTAAATACCCAACAGCTTGCGGTGCATCATATTGAGGTTTTGGTGCTGTATGCGGTCCTTCGGGTGCTTCAGTTACCGAATACTGCTGGACGTAGCGTGGCTGCTGCGTAGTGGGTGACGGCGAGTTATAATACCGTATGAAGTTATTCTTTAAATACCCCAATTCGGAGTCGGGCCCCGAACCAGCGCTTGGCTCAGAGCGACCTTCGGCTCGTTCATACTGCTTCTCTCGTTCACTCTTCAAATTGTCCTCCTCGATGTCTTCGAGTTCTATCTTCTTGTCGGCTGTGGCGACCGCGAGTAACGCGAGGGCATATATCTGAAAGTAAAAGCGGAATGGTAAGCTGGACCTCCGGTTCTGGTCACTGCACTGGAGCAAACATGGCGAAGGTGTGCCAACATTTTCTAACAAACAGGTGACTGTAAAAATGCAATCGCCATTTGCGATAACCGGTTGAGAGAGGGCACTTGTAAAAGGGATCGAGGCAGCTTTTACTCTTATTTTGCGATTATCTAATTGCATTCCATACGAATTCTTCTCTAATGCTGTACCGTTATAAAGTATTAGATTGATATATGGACGGTAATGAAATGGTAGGGAGCTATCAAATTGGCTTTTAGATAACGTAACTTTATATCAGTTATTGCAATATCGTATTGATGGTCTGACCAATTTGAAGATATGTTTTTAATACGACTATGTTTTTATTTTATAGACTTTTACGTATATATATTAAAGGTATTCTTATAAACTAGTGGCTTATCCCGCAGAATAAAATCTAGTTATTTAATCAAATTATTATCTGTACTTTACGCGAATAGTACTTACACAAAATTTGTACCTTACAGCAGAAGCAAGTCGTTATTTAAAAATAATTAATAAACCAAGAAACTTAAGATTCAAGGGGATAAAAATTATGTATTCATAACTATTAATTATAGTCTTATGCACTTAACATAGAATAATACAAAATTACAATGATTAAAAGTTGAATATTGAAATATTATTAATATTAGCTTAAAATCATTTTTTATAAAGTAAAACGGATACAAAATTTGAGATCTCTAGACGGACCCGCTGCTATTCCGGCTACTATAAATTATGGACATCAATTAAAACGAATTATCTACCATCAAACTTGACACGGTTAAAAGGTGATCACGAATGTGTCGATTGCCTATGCTCCTAGAAGAAGTTACGTCCAAATCTGCTTTCATTATACAAGGGGTCATAGTGCAAGAGAATGTGTGGATTTGCATGTCTGCTTTTATCAACCTCGCCGGAATTTGATTAATACATTTGGGGTATTTTCTTGGAATTATTTACTATAATACTGTCCGTACGTTTACGCGAGAAGTACACACTTAAATGAACATTGATGACTATGTGACAGATAGGAATGGACTAACGTGACCGTTACGTTAACGTTGTAAGAATTTAAATAAAACATTCGAACGGTGTCAAACGCGATTGAAATATACAACTCATTTGCCAATTTTTTTACTACAGCCCGACGTTTTGGATGCTTTGCAGCCGTGGTCACGGGGAGACTGACGGAAAAGTTGGATATGGAGGGTGTCTCTAAAGTCAAAGTAAAAATTGATAGCGCCATCTGTTCCGAAACTAGGTATCCTTAAACGTCGGGCCGTAGTTAAAATAATTTCCAAATAAGTTGAAATAATATATATCACGTTTTAAACGTTAAAGTCTTTTATATAATTACTTACTTACATAAAGGAGTTTTGTCTTCAATAGTAAAACAAGTTGACTCGCGTTAAGCACGATGAAATTGTGTGTTCGAGTCCCGAGATAACATTATATTAAATAGATTTACATTTTTATATAAGTAATATCGAAGTGAAATATTCAGATTTTGTTTATAACGATATATATATGACTAGCTTATATTACTGGACTATAATCGTTTATACTTTTAAATAAGTCGTACCTTAAAGCAGTGAATAAGTAGATAGTAATTTATTTTTATCTTGTGGATAACAAGATATTTTTCAAATTTAAAATAAACGCTGATGCATCGGTTATATTTGACAGCATATCGGCCTCTATCTCATTGCTTTTCAAATAAACTACAAAAAGTCAAGAATTATATATTTCAGAGCATACATATGAATAAAATTTAATAACGTTGCAAAATGTTAACCGCACCTGATAACTGAGTCAAAAAGCAATTTCGTAAGCCAGACATAATAGCAGTAGAACACTTTTAACTGGACCACACCATATGTGGAGAAACAACGTTTGCGAAACATCGTACAATTTTAAGTTTTCTTAATATTTAAGACTTTTCTTTACAACCTTATCGTTCATTATGTAATGGACTATGTCTATTTTAACGACCAAATAATATCAATCAATTTATTTTCGATTTTTAAATTATATAGTGCCTTCATGTGCAAACATGCATAAGCAGAACGAGTTACTGAGCTGAAGAGTTTGTTTGTTAGTTTCAACACGCTCACCTGAGGAACTACTGGTTCGAATTGAAAAATTATGTATGTTTGTTAGAGCATTTATCGAAGAAGGTTATAGGCTACTATAAGACATCGCCGTGACTAATAGAAGCGAAGAAACAGCGGGAAATGTGAAGAAAATGGGAAAAATTATTTATGCTTGTCGGCTTCCGTTGCGTACGCTGCAAAAACGGTTTAAGATACCCAAAAAATATGTATTAAAGAATGATTCCTCTTTATATAATCTAAAAAAAGTCCGTCGTTATATTATGTCACATTAACTTACACTAACGATGGGACGCGGATGAAGTCGTCTCTCGCTGCCCAATATAACTATTCTACGCGGACAAAGTCGCTCACATAGCTAGTAATATTAAAATGATTTAGCATAACAAAAACACCGCTAACTAAATCAAAAGTTCGTTTTAAGATTTTCGCGCTAATATAAATTATATTCATTTCTCTAATTGATTATTACAAGGAGGTACTGCTGTTAGAAAAATACTTTTTTTATGTTTTTCAAAGATTAGTCATCATCCAGTCGAATTAATACTTGAATTAGAGTACATTAATTCCCATAGAGCTAAAAATGTGTATGTTTAAAAAGTGTAGATACATTTTTTGTAGACTATAGAGAATCGGATGATCTACAATTTTAGACAAAACTATGTTTGCTCTAAAACTCACCGTCTAGCTGTAAAACGCCAAATACCTATTTAAAAAAATCATTGATGGAGACTGGGATGATTGGGGACTTGCCACAATTCATTTATAATATTACATATTTTGAACATTTATACCAGTTTTTAGCTCTATGGAGATTATTGTAAGTTTTATGGTCTAATTTGAATGTACTATGAGGGCGCTTTACAAAGTATTAAAAAGGCTAGAAGATTGATCAGTTAATACTATTATTTTTATTGGAATTAAAATGTTGGACAGTAAAATCAGTTTTATAGACCCTTAAGACGTATTCAGCGCGTACTAGACATATTTGCATTTTACCTAAATTCTTGTTTACGGCTTTAATTAATTCTGCTTAATGCATCGAATGTAATCGAGTGTTAAAACCATTAGAGCGATTGGTTAGTACGATAGGTATTTTTATTTTTTGTCTCGAAAAAAAGTCAAAAGTTGCAGCAGTTTAAATAAAACTTTTAACGGTTTAAAACGTTTTGCAGTAAGCGGTTAAGGTTATTGCAAAGCATCCGTATGGTTGCTTCGAAGTTTTTCGTTAGTTGCTAAAATTAATTTCCCGATAAGAAACGTTAAAAGTGTTTTATTTAAATGCGTACTACTTGCAGAAGAGCCATGTAAGACTAGTACTCGAAGCCTGAGTGTTACTTCTAAAAACAAGTCTATGTACAGTTCTGTTATTATTATTATAACAACGTTAAATTTAATCAATGCATACCAAACACAATAAATACTAATCATGGAAATATTTCAATATAACGAGAAAGTTCTTAATTTAAAGAAAAAGTTAAACATAACTTGTCTTTAGTGACTTCGAGTCAATTGTCAAAAAGTGCGTTAAGTTATTTAAAAAAAAGGCAGTTATTATAGGCTTAACGCCTTTTGTCTCATTGGGTTATGAGTCAATATTTTTAAGACGATAATCGAAATTATTAACAGGAAATGCATTTATCACATATACAAGAATTTGAACCCTATTGTTTAGGAACGGAGCCCATATCAATCAACGTACTAGCGATAGGAGAACCATATAAGGAGGAAGGAAGCTATATTTGTAAAAATTTTAAAATTATTGATATTAAAAAATAAACCCTTACCTTATACAAAAGCATCTTGAATTTCAGTTCCTTACGAGCTTCAAGAACAACTCTTCAAATCGCAAACATTTTACTGTGCTGCTTCCAGTGAACCACCAACAATGGTGTCCTATAATTGAATGGATGGTTAATTTTTCACTATCGACTACATTCGATAATAGTATATCGTCTGTGAAAGTGAAAACACTGGCCACTTATAAAAAAATGAAATTATTGATTATAAAAACTTTTTGGAATATGTGAATTAGAAGGGTGTAAATATAACACTGGCCACTGATAAAAAATATAATACGATTATTTTTTTACTATAGTTGTTAATTTAAGGAAGTAATATGCATATTTCACTTTTTACTATTGTACCTTTTATCACAAATTGAAGTATGTTTTCAAGTGTGTGACAATTAAAAAAAAACAGAATTTTCTCGCGCGAACACCGTGCCTTCACTCAGTTTGGTACCTAAATGGTGGTCCGTATCTTGAGATAGTTTGTTAAATACAACAAGTCCGACTAGTCTACTTACATATCGGAAAGGCGTCATACAATACGCATGTACGCCTGTGTACGTCCGATTCACTGAGAGCGAAAGTAAATATCGGATTTATTTGGTCATTTGATATGCAGAGAACGTGTTAAAAAAGTATTGAGGCTATTGAGATATTGAGGTAGATGTTGACGTTCTTTTGTTTTTAAACTAGGGTGGATTGCCGAATAAAATATTAGTTCTAAAAATTGTTAGTAACCCGCAGGAAAAAAATCTAACCCTGACATCAGAACTAACCAACCCCTACTGGAGCAGCGAAGTGGGTCCAAGCTTAAGAACTTACTAACCCTTTTTAAGGTAAGAAACGAGAATTGTGCTTGGCACTTAAAGAATAAACACATAAGGAAACATTACTCAATTGACATAAAACCTGAAAAACCCTTCTTTATAAATTAAGTTACATAGTAATACATGTATTATTTTTTACATATAATATTTGTATTGTGTTTAAATCGAAGAATTTAAAAAGGAGTGGGCAACCAAAAATAAAACCGGCTAAGTAAGGATTGTACTTGCTCCCAAAGGGTTCCGTAACTAGACAAACAACTGTAGCTAAGAGTACCAGCGTTCACATCAGTACTAAACAACTTGCTTACCATACTAATATATAATTAATAAATTGCCATACGATCTTAAATACAATAAATTTTATGATTTTTAAGTAATATTAAAAAAAAAATACGAATGAAACTGTTCTGTTTTGTTAAATTAAAATG